AGTGATGTTAGCACACTGCGCTCTTCTGAATGCATCTCTTCTCTTAGGACTTTATTTTCACTGGAAGGGATTTCTAGTTGGGTGAGCAGTCCTCAGCTGGGAGGAAACAGTAACTCAGGTTAACAAACCTGTTCCTCTGCATGCAGGCTATCAGAATAACCTGAAAGTGCTCTACAGTCAGAAAGCGACACCTGGATCCGGCAGGAAGAATGGCAGATACATTCCCTCAATGCCAGACCGGATCCTGGACGCGCCAGAGATCCGCAATGACTATTGTAAGTCAGCTGCAATGCTGAGTGCTGGGCACTGATGACATTCTGCACTGGAGTGCAGTTCCTAGGATGGTGTGGTCCAAGGAACTGGAGCTCTAACTGGGCTGTTTCAGTATCTTATGCACCCAGGCTGGCATGGACCACTTCTGGAGTGTCCCTGTGTAGCCTTAGAGGAACAGTAGTCCAGAGTGCTGTGTAGGTGACTTGGATCAGGGCTACCTGATGCTGCTAGCTGGGCATGGTGACACCCAGAAGGCTGTCCCTTACCTGTATGTGTGTGTGCATGTGTACCTGCTGTGGGTGGAAGATCTGACATCAGCACTGGTGAAGAGCAGGGCTCTCCAGGTAGGCACAGTATGACCTGCATTGCTCTTCCAAATTGTAGATCTGAATCTCATTGACTGGAGCTCTCAGAACTTCCTGGCAGTGGCTCTGGACAACTCTGTCTATCTGTGGAATCACACTTCTGGGGAGATTATCCAGCTGCTGCAGATGGAGCATCCAGATGATTATGTTTCCTCTGTGTCATGGATTAAAGAAGGAAATTACCTTGCTGTTGGCACAAGTAATGCTGAGGTCCAGGTAAGTGCAGGAGTAAAACTAGAGGTGTTGTCTAGGGATTGCTGGAGCTGTGGGGCCTTGGGACAAAGGCTTGGCTAGTAGAAGGATGCAATGCACTCTGACTTGTCTTGACTGGTGTGGGGTGGAAGTGTCCACATCCAGCCACGGCCAGTGACCAACTGCAGCAGCGAGGAAGAGTTTGGTTTTGGGGTTTTCTGACACCTGGAGTTACTTTCTGTTCTGTAGGCATGAGATACAAATTGATCTCTGCTCCCATACTGACAAGGTTGAATGCCAGAGTCTATGCAGTGAGGTTCCTAGGGCAGAACAACAGGGCTGGGTTTCCTCATCCTCTGGAGAACTTATTGCTCTGCCTCTCTAGCTATGGGACATACAGCAGCAGAAACGTCTCCGAAATATGACCAGCCATTCTTCCCGTGTGGGGTCCCTCAGCTGGAACAGCTACATCCTCTCCAGGTAAAGCAGTGGGTGGGGATGGCTGAAGGGCAGTGTCCAGCTGTTGCTGATTTCTACCTCGGATCTGTGAGTGGTGCAGGCTAGGGATGGCAGAGAGGAATTTCTGTCCTGGCTTGGGATTCTTACTTGGCCTGTTCTGTTGGGACTGTGGGGTGAAGGCCTCTCTTCTCTCTTGCTGTCTGTGCGGAAGCTGTGAAGAGCTGCTTTGGCTGCTTCACTCATGCCAACAGGCCAGTGATGCTGGTAACACTGGTTGAAACCCAGTGGCAGGTATGGCAGTCTTGCAACAGCACAAAAATGGATTTTGGTGAAAATATGTGCCAGCCTGACCCTGCAAGCCTTCTCTCTGCAGTGGGGCACGGACTGGCCACATCCACCACCACGATGTCAGAGTGGCTGAGCATCACGTGGCCACACTTGCTGGCCACACGCAGGAGGTGTGTGGGCTCAAGTGGTCTCTGGATGGCCGCTACCTAGCCAGTGGTGGCAATGACAACCTGGTGAACATCTGGCCATGTACCCAGGGGGACAGTGGAGACTTTGCTCCTGTACAGACCTTCACACAGCACCAGGGTGCTGTCAAGGTGAGTGCAGGGCTGCTGTGGGTGAGGTGTGGGTATGTCTGTGTGCAAGGCAGACAGCAGCACTGGCTGTGCACAGGTTGCCTCTTGCATGACTTAGAATTAACCCTTTTCTTTCAGGCTGTGGCATGGTGTCCATGGCAGTCAAATGTTCTAGCCACTGGAGGTGGGACTAGTGACAGACATATCCGCATCTGGAATGTGTGTTCTGGCACCTGCCTCAGTGCTGTTGATGCACATTCCCAGGTAAGACACGAACATCAGCTTGGAGATAAACACCTTCTGGCAGGACACCTATACAGAGCTGCTGGCTGTGAGGCCCAGAGGCATGGGAAGGGAGTGGACCATGCTCATCTCTGGGTGGTGAGCGTCAGCACAAGCAGCTTGTCTTACCTGTGTTACTGCCTCTTCCCAGGTCTGTTCTATCCTGTGGTCAACAAACTACAAGGAATTCATTTCGGGCCATGGCTTTGCACAGAATCAGCTGGTTGTATGGAAGTATCCAACAATGGCCAAGGTCACTGAGCTGCGAGGTAGGCTGGGCCCTTTGCCTGGGGAAGGGAGGGCTGCTGAAGGCAGATGTAATCCTTGGTTTGAGCAGACTGGTGGTCTAGCCTGGAGCATCGCTGGTGCGGAATGGTGTTCAGGGGCATGCTGCTAGAGGGAGGCACTCCTGTGGGCGGCTGAAGAAACACCGTTGCTCCAAGTGCATGCCTAGGGTGTGAACTCATGCTGCCCCAGCATGGTGTGGGGACAGCTATGGAAGCTGGTGGGGCTCATGGGGCATACAAGAGTAAAGGTGACCATTATGGTAGAACCAGAGAGACCAGGGCATGTGATCAGCACAGCCCTGACTGCACACCTCCTCCTCAGGTCACACTGCCAGAGTCTTGAACCTGACTATGAGCCCTGATGGTGCAACAGTGGCCTCGGCAGCTGCTGATGAAACGCTGCGGCTCTGGCGCTGTTTTGAGATGGACCCCATAAAGAAGAAGGAAAAAGAGAAAGCAAACAGTGCCAAAAGCAGCATCATTCACCAGGGCATCCGATGAGTGCACAGGGCTTGGGGGGGCAGGGGAGAATTCAGTTTACACACTGTACAGTATTTTAAATGTTAATAAACTGCTTTAATTTGACTTTTTCTTAATGGAGTCTGATAGAAAAGGCCATCCTCCCTGATGTTTGGGATCTGGGCAAGTGGTGGAGCTCTTGTTCTTCAACACAGCCCTGAAGTCCTGGGAAAAGGAAGATGCTGTGCAATGTGTACTTCTGCATCTGTCCCAGCTAAGGCATGTGTGTCACCTGACACATCTTAATGCTGATGACAAGTACAGCTCCATCAGAGGGGCTGTGGCTTACTTGTACCCCACAGGGGGAAGCTGTAGCACTGAAAGACCCTAGATGGGGGCTGTCTGCCTGCAGCTGATGTCTAGCCTGTCTGTAGAAGTCCCCCCTCAGCCCCTCCTCTAGCAAAGCTCTACCAGGTAAATGCAGCTTTCTCTGCACCTCTTAACTTTCTCAAACTGGAATCATGGAGCAGCCTGGCCTGTGGCTGGACACTGGTTCTGGTAAGAGAAAGGGAAGTGTTAGGGGACAAAGAGGGCCTCTGTATCCATGTGCTGCTCTTGGTTTCTTTTAGAATAAAGGGTTAGAGCCTGGGTGACTTCCTAGCCTTCCATCCCTGATCAGTGTGTCAAAGCTGACCCTTCCCAGGGCTCCACCCCTGCAGTGAGGCTAGGAAGAAGCATCCCTGACTTGCCTCAGCTTTCACAGAGCAGTGAACCAGCTCTAAACTGGCCCCTGCCTAAGAGAGGGCCCTCTGCCCAGCTGCTGCCTGCTTTGGTGCCAGCTGGGGGGGCGGGGAGCAAGGCTCAACTGAAAGCACAGTTTGTCTGTGTCCCCAGCTTCTGCTGTGTCCTGCTTCTTGGCCAGGTGGGCCTTCCTGTGCCTCTGCAGGCAACTACCAGCAGTGATCACCTGTGCCAGAGCAGTCTGGGGACTTGTTCTTGGCAGTCTGAGCTGTAGTGTCGCCTGCACACAGCAGTTAGTCAGTCTTGTTCTGCTACATGCAGCCTCTGTGCTGCAGCCAACGCTGCCTGCTCTTACAGTGCTAGGGCAAAATAGCTATTCTTGCAGTGAGTTTAGTACTGAATTTAGGAGCCAAATGCTATTGGGGGAAAAAAGGGGGGGCTGGAAACATACAGCAACAGCTGTCATCAGGCCCAAAGGCCAGAAAGGGGCTGGCAACAGGCAATGGCGTGAAGCCTGATGCAAAATAAAAGGTTAGTTTACATTGCCACAGCCAGCCTGGACATCATGCAAGAGACTCCCAAAGCACCGTCAACCTGGTGCATGGCCCTTAGTCATATATTCTTACAGCAGCCCTGATCTCCGTCCTCCCCTCCTGCTGAGGGGAAGCCCTGGTGCCAAGCTGAGGCTGCATGCAGGGAAGCAGGCAGCAGGGCTCAGCTGACATCTGGTAGAGCTTGACTCCCCAGCACTTGGAAAATGCATTTTCCTCCAGGCTCAGTTGTGCTGGTACAAGTTGCAGGGAGCATATTTGAGCCTTTACCTGAGCAAGAGCCAGCAGGGCCACAGCTGCCGTGCTGCACTATAAGTTGGAGCCCTGGAGTCTGAGGTTGTGGGGCTGCCCCAGACCCATCGAGCCTGTCCTTCAGCTGCACCAGCACAGCCAGGGGCTGCGCAGCTGATTAGCACCTTGGCCTGTGCAAAGCAGCTCAACAAAGCTTGTACCTCCCCCATCAGCCTGTGATTAGCTGAGGGTGGATTATTAACCATTTTCACCTTCCTCTTAGCACAGTACCACACTGTACCTGGCACCAGGCTCCTGCTCTGCCTCCTGAGTTTTAAGCCAGCTGGAGCCTTCAAAGGTGGGCAGTGTTGGTACAGCCCCATTTGGCCACCTGCAGAAGAGCAGGGGAGGTCCAGGGGAGGAAGAGGCAGCTCTCCTTCCTCTTCAGAAGCAAATCCTAGGGCAGCAGCTGGATTTAATGGGGCAGGAGCCCACATGCAAGGTTTGGCTCTTCCTCAGGGCTGTGCTGCTGTTGTAGGAGCCCTGCCCCACACCCCTGCAGCTTAATGCTGGGAGTTAGTGCAGACTTGCTGTGGCCCCACAGCAGATTAAGGCTTCCAGTGGTTCCCAACCCTGGAAGGAAGGCTTTACATGCCTGAAAGCTGGTGGAGTTTCTTCACTCCCTTGTAATGGCAGTTTATCTTTCTCAGACAGAGCCTATCTTGCCTCTCTCCTTAGCACATACCCACCCCCAGAAGCTGTGCATTACACACCCCTTGAAAGTCCTGAGCGTTACTGGAAGGTGATGATATTGCAGTGTCTTCCTGTGGCTCCATGCTGGTCCTACTGCCCTGGAGAGAGGAGGAGCAGAGGAAAGAGCTGGGCACTGACCCAGCAGGCCCAGGAAACACTGCCGTATAAGGTGTGAATTCAGTTTGGAGCAGCAGCCCAGACTGACCATGACAGCATATAAATTACAAGCCCATGGAAAGATCACAGCTAACAGGAACAATTGGAGGAAGAGAGAGCAGAGCACACAGGGAACAGGCCATTTTAAAATGCCAAGCATAAGTAGTTTAAAGTATTGTTACTATTTTGGGCAAAAACAAAGACAGGCCTGTCTTTACCAAGAGCCAGCTGTGGGGGGAGAAGGAGGCTAGACCAGAAAAGCTCCATCTCAGCTGGACTGTCACCTACAGCTCCTGAAGTGGCAGCTTCTGAGCATCAAACTGATGTTACACACCACTTCAGCAGGGACCAGAACAAGCTCTCCTGCCAGTCCTTGCCCACAGAGAAGCAGCAACAACTGGGAGAACACTACACAGTGCAGCAGCCAGATCCCATTTTAAGGCTTCATACATACAAGGGCACTGAGCCCTGTAAAATGGGGTGATGCCCGTGTGCAGTTAGGCATATTGGTCATACCAGTTCAGCTCACTTGAAGAGGTTTTCCTACATTTCAGAGCATAGCCTTGAGGAGTACAGCAGCTCAGGCTGTACTTGGCTCACCCCAAGCCCTGCTCTAGGGCTTTACACTGGACATCTGGACATCCACTAAAGCCCTCCCAGACTCCAACCAAACCTACAGTGAAACTCAGCTTCTGGAGGCCTGCTGGTCTAATGCACTCCTCCCAGCTGCGAGCAGCCCAGGCAGCTACCCACACCTCTTCCCAGGCTTGAGTCAGGACCTAGGCTGCCCTCTCTGCAAGGGGAAGGCAGCACTGTACCCCAACAGCACTGAAGGGAAGCCAGACTGTCTCAGGTGGTAGACAGGGCAGAGCCCAGCCAGGAAGATGTACTGCTGTAGCAAGAGCAGAGCAGCAGCAACAAAAGCCTCCCTCTGACCAGCCTCATCTGTGTTCTGCACAGATCCACACTGCAGGGGCATTCACAGATGGCAGCAGCTTTGGCTTCAGTAGATGTAGAAAAGAGTCTGCTCTTTCCCCATCACCTGGGTTTCCAAGGTCTCCATTCCTTGCTCTGCCACAACTCAGCTGCCCAGGATTTCTGAAAAGCAGCAGCTCCTCCTGGGCAGCTGGCCCATGTCCCAGCCTGCACCCATGCTCCACCCCAGCCATTCTTTCACAGGGTGGAGCCACTTTCACAACAGGAGCCTTGACACATTTCCTGCCCTGAGCACTGCTCTACCAGAGCACTGTGGAAACAATCTGCCATCTGCTTCATCAGCACACTGCTATCACCCTCTCCCCCCAACACACAAACCTGCTACACCAGCTGCTTCTCCCAGCCCTGCCTCCAACCACACTGGGCAGGACCATGCACCTGGAACAGCTTCTGAGCACTGCAAGCCAGGAAAAACAAGAGGGCAGAGCCATTTCTCCTTCTGTTTGTTTATTTGTGATAGAAGAGCAGCCCAGTCTGACAGGGCCTGGCTCCTTCACCTCATCCTCAAGGCCACCAGCATGGTTTTGGTTACAGCCAGAGCAGATGACGGGCACCAGGCCCAGGAGAGCTGCTGCACTGCCCTGCTGTAGGGCAGAGTACACCTTCACCCAGGCCCAGTTGGATCCACAGAGGCAAGAGGTGCTCACTATTACACCACAGCAGGGCACACTACAACCATCCTCCACTGTGCTCACGCTGGGCCAGAGCAGGCCTGGTCCCAAGCAGGAGAGCCTGGGAGCTGATTCTAGGGGCAATTATTGCTCAAGTCTTGAGTCTGCAGGAATGGAAGTGGTCCAAGGCAAGGCTGAGCTTGGCCTCCCCCACTCTGGAACAAGCCACCAGCTGCCATACAGGATCAGGTAAGTGTGGCTAAAGCACACACTAAGCACCCAGCCCAGGCACCTAAAGGCAAGGCAACCCAGGCTTATTGTGTGGGGGAGGCATTTCAGGCTGTCACAACCCCTGCTATGTACTAGGCACAGGGCATGTGTACTGTACTGGGCAGGTCTGGGCCCTCAAGTCCCATACGCACTGCCCCTACGTTCTCCACAGCCACACCTAAGCACAGATATGCCAGGGTAGGACCCCCCACCTGGGCACACAGGAACCAGAAGGGACATGCAGCACTGTGGCATGGAACAAGGTGGCACAAGGCATGGTAGAGCAGGAGCACTCACACTTGAGCTGGCAGCAGCAAGCAACCAGGGGCAAGTCTGCTCATCTACACAGGCTCTGATGAGACAGGGAAGAGGAGAGGGCACCAGGGCAGGGACCAGCCTCTTCTTTTGGTCCTACTCAGAAGGAAATGGCCCTCAGGCAGAAGGGCCAGATGTAGGCACTTGGGGGAAGTTCCTTTGGAAACACTGGAATGGGACTGCAGCCCCACAGCTGTGATGCAGGCAGCTGCCTCTCTGCTCAGCAACACTGAGAAACAGCACAAGCCCTCCCAGGAGCAGGAGAAGTCGCCCATGGCTGCTCAGAGCAGAGGGGCCGGGCATGCAGACAGAGGACAGCAGGGCTGGGCACGGGGGTACAACAGTCTGTAGGCACTTGACTTGGCTAGTGGCACCCAGGAGCAGGGGAACAGGTCCCAGCTGCCTCTGCCCCGGGGCT